TTCCGCCGGACCACTGCCTGCCATCGTTGCTCTACCGAACCACCACTTGAGGACCTGTGCTACACCAGGCCACCACTTGAGGCTCTGTGATCCACCATGCCACCACCTGAGGCCCGGACTTCCGCCGGACTACCGCATGATGTCGTTGTTCCGCCTAACCACCACTTCAGGCCCTCTACTCCGCCGAACCACCGTCCGACGCCGGAGTTCCACCGAACCACTACTAAAGCGTCTGAGCTCCGTCAAACCACCGCCTATCGTCGTTGCTTCACCAAACCATCACTTGAGGCCCTCTCATCCATCAAACAACAACCTGTTGCCAGAGTTCTTCCGGACCACCACTTAAGGACCTGAGCTCTACCGGACCACCGCCAAACATCGTTGCTCTGCTGGACCACCACTTGAAGCCTTCTCCTCCGCCAAACCACCACCTGACACCAGAGTTCCACCGGACCACCATTTAAGGGCCTGAGCTCCACCGAACCATTGCCTAACGTCATTGCTTCGGCGGACCACCACTTGAAGCCCTCACCTCCGCCGGACCACCGCCTGACGTCGTATCTCCGCCGGACCTTCACTTGATGCCCTCGCCTCTGCTGGACCACCACTTGATGCCCTCACCTCTGCTGCACCATCGCCTGACATCCTTCCACTGTCGAACAACCACTGGAGGCCCTGTGCTCCACCAGGCCACCACCTAAGGCCCAAACTTCTATCGGACGACCGCCTGGCTTTGTTGCTCCGCCGGATCACCACATGAGGCCCAAACATCCGCCAGACCACCACCCGAGGCTCAGACTTCCGCCGGATCATCACCTAAGGCCTGGACTTCCACCGGACCACCATCTGACGCCCGGACTTTTGTCAGACAACCACCAAAGACCCAGACTTCTACTAGACCATCACCTGAGGCTCGAACTTCTGTCAGGACACTACCTAAGACCCAGAGTTCTACCAGAGTACTGCACTACTATAATGATCTTTCTGACCTCGGTCTCTCGCATGTTGCAGTCCTTCCAACCTACATAGCTGAACAATGGTCTTTCTAACCCCGATCTCCTGCCAACCATGGTCTTTCCGACCTCTATCCCATCGACTAGGGTCCTGGCGACCAAACAAACATGTTTATGTAACTCCCTCCCACCATGTAATGTGATCTATATGATGTACGTTTGTGACATCAATCCAAGGCTGTCTCTTAAGGTAGGGTCTCATTGTAATCGACTGCAAATACTAGTGGATTCATTCAAATTGGGCCAGGCCCTGTGGTTTTTTCCATATTCAGAGTTTTCACGTAAAAACTCTGGTGTCTCTTATGAATGCTACACCCACTCTCTTATATTCTTGTATGCTGGATCTTCGTACAGCACTAAGGCATTAAACCATATATTTCTCTACCGCCGTGAATACTCCAGGACGCAACCGATGTAAATAGAACAAGGAGAATGCTCGCCAGCAAAAGCAAGACATATGATTTCAGGAGTTATCTCATCCAAGTGATGGTGATGGGAGATTTTTTTTAAAAGATTTAAAATAACCATCCATGGTATGACCGAGCAACTTGGAATCAACAAATACAACATGTAACTTTGTTTAACCAATATAATTACGGTGACCTATCCCAATTATAATTTTTCACATTGGTCCACCCCTTCAAAACTCGCAATTTCCTTAAATGGAATAGAAGATGTAGTTGGATTAATTATTATGTGCGGATGTCGAATGTTGTCCAGAGACTAACCATAATGCAACACATTACCCCTTGTCCGGTACCACGGCTCGCTACTATTCGGTACCGCGGCTCGGTACCCCTGACGTGACACATTCTGGTTAGTCTTTGAATGTCATTTTGCGTCCCGTCTCTGCACAGAATAATTTCGCACGTAGTAGAGGGATGTGACGGAAGGTGAGGTTGTGAGAGAGCCAGTAATAAAACAGATAATGCTCACTAAAAAAGAAGTCGATGTCTTGCATTTTCAAAAAAAAATTATTTTCAATTAATTTTGTGAGGTTGATGGCTTAACCTAATGAAGATGGATGAAATGCTCAAATTTCAATACGAATATTTGGATTTATGATTTATTTGAAGCAGTATTGTAAAATGATTTTGAAACACCTGCTACAGTTATTGAATAAATGTTTACAACGCTGATAGTAATCAAGAAAGGCCATTGGGGGAGTTAGAGTGGAACAATTATTTGGTTCGGTGAACGTACGCTCCTCTACGTTCGGCCACCAACCTTTTAGCGCCACGTAGCACGAAGAAAAGTCGCCGACCCGACCCGCTGTTTTTTGGGTTCTAGCGCGTGCGTTTTTTTAATTCCTTGACGAGCCGAACAACATCCCATCACCTTTTGGATATATTTTAAATATCTAGCAAATACCGAGTTGTACCTAGTTTTTTCTAGCAATACCGAGCAAATCCGGCCTAGGCAATATCCGAGCAAATCGCTGAGCAAATATCGATGTTTTTTCTAGCATAACGCTGCATGTCAATCCTGAGCAATATCTGTGAGTTGTAACGGAGTCTGTACCGAGTATTTTTCTAAGCAATACCCAGGAAAAGCAAATACCTAAAATAGAGAAATACCTGAGCAAATTCGTAGCAAATATCCAGATAGTGCACAATATACCATGAGTATTACGCACGTTGTAGAGAAAAACTGCGTACAGAACTCGGTATTTGTATAATTTTATGGTGTTCAACAGAGCGTATTTCTATTTTGCATGCAATACAGGCAATATCCGAGAAAATCGGAAATAGCATTCCCGGCGTTCCGTCCGAAAGTACCTCACGTCAGGTCAGAGGACGTATATAATTGTTCGTTAGAGTGAGACCTTAGTGCTAGATGAGAAAATATTACGCATATATAATTGTGTTCGGATGCATGGCGTATTTACGTAATCTTATATTTACTCACAGTAATTGGGTTCTGGTAAATGCTTGGCTATTTACTGTTTATTTTACTGGCGTAATGATTACTTTTGCATACATTAGTGTTTCTAAACGTTTCATGTTTGCGTATTAATTGTGTATACTTATGTGCCACGTAATAATTATTATATGTAGTTAGCTTTTTACACGAGAAAAATTACTGAATATCAAAAATATCGCAACTATAATAAGCAGTAATATTACGCAGTATCCGAAGAGTAAGTCTCGGGTGAATCATGATTACGTACAGAATGAATATTCTCGAGTGCAGGCCAACAAACTCCATCAAACATCAAAGTTGCTCTCTTTATTTTTTCAACTACCTGAATTTGAGCTTTTATATATATATATATATATATATATATATATATATATATATATATTATATATATACTTTTCCTTCCAAAATTAAATATAGAACGCCATATTTACTTCTTATTCTAAAATAGTTAATTTTGTCTCTTGCCAAGCTCCAGAGACAGGATTTACCATTTCAATATTCATTATGCTTTGATGAAACAAACCTAAAGTTGTAGCACTCCTCCAATGTTATAATATTAAATAATAATGTTTAAAATTAAATTATTAGAATAATATTTTATAAACCTCAATATTTCGCTATTAAAAATCATTAATATCTTAGTTTAATTTGCATGTCACCGTTAGGTCACCGGGTCAATCCATGCTTCAATTTTTATTATTTTGATTTTAAAATTATAATCAAATTCGACTAAAGTGATGACTAAGAAAAATTAAATCCATAAATTCTTGACTTGGTACGGAATTTGCATCACTAAAAAAATTTAATGTAAAAAGGAAATTTATGTGTATGTTTTGAATTTTTTAATAAAATTAATTGCCTTAAATATTTAAAGTGAAAAATGATACTCATAAATTTACGAGTAATACACCTAATAAAATATAGAATATAAAATTTAATAATTTTTTTAAAATAAATCTTTATATTTAAAATAATTAAAATGCTAATTTCCCATAAACAACAAATATAAAAGCGAGAAAAGCCATAAAAAATAACTTAAGGTTTTTTCAAGGATAATTTTTTTACAGTTTTCTAAAACTATTTTTTAGTATAAAAATTTATAGTTCAAGAACTTTTTATACTATAAAACTGTTTTAAAAAGTAGTAAAAAAATTATCTCTAAAAGTTCTCGCCATCGAGAATTGGAGTAAAAATAGAAGAAAAAAGAAGTTAAATGGAGATGTGCCATTAAAGGAATGAATGGGAGGTTAAGGAAATAGGGTGATGCATGCGTTGTCAATTTAAGCTTACTGAAATAATATATATATATTATATATAATATATATATATATATATATATATATATATATATATATATATATATATATATATATTATATATATATTTATTTATTTATTCTGAAGTTCTTCGCAACAGATTTGTTTTAATTCCAAATGGACATTTATGTGAAATTTGGATTAAATCTGCATCAGCAAAGAAAATATCATCACATATTACTATACAATCTCTAAACGCGAATTACATTCACCTTACATCAGCGTTGCAAGAATAATTAATCTTAAATAAATAAATCAAGTTTTGATATTTTAATCAAAATTTCTATTGAGTTGGAATCCTTAAAATTATATGAAATCAAAGTTAATCTTATTTCAAAATCTGATCTAATTAATTGAGGCTATTGCTCTATTGCAGGGAAAAAAACTATTTTTCTAAACTCGTTTGATTTGCTTTTAGATGAATAAATATATATTTTACTTATTTAAGTTAGTTTTCTTTTTTCATCTCAATTTTAATCAAATAATGTTTGAAAATCAATCGTGCTCATTTTATCCTGATCTAAAATTTGTCCTCCTATGCATCTACCATGGATATTGGAGAGCAAGCTAGTTTCCTATTCCAGTATCCCAACCCAATCGCAATAAGTCTAATAGAGGCTTAAAATGTAAAAGAAGACTACCAAGAAAGCAAGCTTGAAGCGATATATACAGTAGAAGAACTGATAAAGAAACTACGATGGCCACGAATTGATCAAGCCGGCCGGTTATGGAGTGCTAATTGAGACCATTATGATGCCCGGCCCAAAGGTGAATAATGGCGTTGCAGCTTGATTTTCTCGTAGAACTCCGTGATAAACTTTTCAGCCCTTGAATCAATCTCCTGGTCCTCCTCATCAACCACCTTCTCCAGCGTTGCATCAGACCAAGAAGTCTGTGAATCCCTATCTTCCTCCTCGTCGATGATATGATCGTTAAGATCTTGATCACTCTCCTCCACCTCCATGTACTTCTTTTCTATTGAATCCCAATCTTCGTCGCTTTCGAAGTCGGCGGTTGGTGTGAGGCAGGGGAGAAAGCAGAGGGAAGCGGAGCGGTGGTGAGTCTTTGATTGGTAGGACGGGGTGTCATCGAATGAGAATTCGCGTTCGCTGTAATGCGAGATGTAAGTGTCGCTGTTTAGAGCGCGGGAGTCGTCGAGCGAGCGTGGCTTCAATTCTGCCCCCTTCCTAGTCCTGAGCAGGGGAAGACGGAGGAGACGCCAAGCGCGACCGGCTACTGTAGATGTCTTTTTTCCCATTACAAGCAAGAGAAAATAAAAAACTGTACTGCAGTGGCAATGTTTTCAGCTTGCAGCTTGGTAAGGTTTTAGGTTGGTGTGGGGCTTTTATGCTGTGTTTTCTAAGCTTTGGAGATGACAATAAATGGAAGAATTAGAGAAGGCTATTTGTCGAAATAATGCTATGAGTGACTAAAATATTTTGTGTCAGAATATCTTAATAAAATATATTTTAAGATGAATTTTAATAAAGCTATAAGTCAAAGACTAAAATATGCTGTCAGACAACCACTAGGCCGCCGACCGCCGGCTATCGCCTGAATTTCACCTACCATCATCGAACCACCACCCGACCATGAACCCCCACTGAACTACCACTCATCCTACGACTGTCGTCATACTTCCACTTGTTCCCTGACTGCCATCAGACTTCTACTCGGCCATTACTGAAGCATCGACTAGTTACTGAAAGCCCTTGTCGTCGACTACTGTCCCTCCGATCACCATCGCTAGCTAACTATGATCCTTCTGACCACTATTTGTTGCAACCCATGACCCCGAGTCTGAGATTTTGATGATGCCAAATAATGATTGTTTTGAAACAACTTTTCATTGGATATTATTTTATTTGCTATTGTCCTTGAGTACTAACATTTCAGGAAGATCACAAGTGACTCAGGACGAAAGGAAGACTCAAGAACAGATAGATTAGGAGTATGAGTCAGATATTGTATTTTTCTATTTATTGTATTTTTATTTTCTTGAGTTTGGCCACAAAATACATAAGAGTAAGAGCAACCATGCACAGGGGGAGAGTTTGTTTTTAAATGCAAAATGTAATAGAATTTCTTCTCTGGAGATCGTACTGTACGATTTTAATTTGTACCGTACGATCCGAGCTATGTGGATGATTATATGAATAGATCGTACTGTACGAATCTATTCGTACTGTAAGATATGTTCAGATCCAAAACCCTCGCCGTAGTTTAGTTTAAGTAAGTGATTTTGCGCCGCTTGTACTGTACGAACCTTTTCGTACTATACGATTTATTTTAAATACTTACTTAAATAAACCCGTGATTAGTGCATGTAATCAAGGCCTAATTATATTTTGAACATCGTACTGTACGAACAAGATCGTACCATATAATGAACAGAGAAGAAGTTTGATCGTTCCGGATATCGTCCTGGACGATCTCTTGGTTTTTGTCTCATCGTACTGTACGATAGTAATCGTACCATATGATGAACAAAGATGATATCTGGTCATCCAGACCATCGTCCTGTACGAATAGTATTTTGTGGATCGTATCGTACGATATTATATTGCACAGTACGAATTATTTTTTAACTGTTCGTACATCTTTGTACCAAGACGAGGTTTGTTTATGAAGATCGTACGGTACGATGGGTAATCGTACTGTACAAACAATAACAACTACTTTTGAAATCAGAGGGATTTTGGAGCCGGTTTTATGGGTTAATCTCGTCCTTTTTCAGTAAGATTTACAGAGAGGGAGAACGTGGTTAAAGAGGGATTCCAAGGGAGAGAGCTCTAGAGAAGTTCTTTAGGGTTGAGAGAGGAAGAAGAAGGTAAGCGTTATGAGGGAGAAGAGGTGTGTGGGAGATCACACGGTTGCTCCGAACTTGCTGCATCTTGCTCCTCCTGTGGCCCTAGAAGAATTTGAGGAAGGATCTCCAAGGGAAAGGTTCGTCTACATCCGTGACCTTGAGGTTGTCTGCCTTCTCCAGGAGGGAGAAAAACGAGAAGGTTCTCTGCC